CACCCTAGCAATGGCATCAGGGAGGGCTCCAGGGCGGGACATACCAGCAGCTAGAATTGTTGCCCTGGCTGGGGAGCTAAGGGTGGATCTGACATTGTTTCGGGGGCCAGGGGAGAAAGGGAATCAAAAAGGAAAGGAGAATGTGCATTGGCTGGATACCAGACGGGGCTGACAAAGCCTAAAATACCTATTGTCACTACCAGGCCCTTTACAGAAGAAACAGGTCGCCAACCTGAAGTTGGTGACAACTAGGACTCTTTGCTCTACAAACCTACCTGGGGCCAGGCAAGAGCTTGAATGGCAATCGTCAAGGCAACCTGAGTTTAGGGACATGAGTGGAAAGGCCACAGAGAAGTAGCAAGAGGAGCTCAGGGAGAACAGAGGCTCCCTCCAGGGACCCCTCAATTCCTGGAAGGGGCCCGCCCTCCTCCGCCCCTCTGCCCATTGTCTTGAGTCTTGCGGGTGAGCCTGACCTGTCCAGGCCTTCACAGGAAAGGTCACTGTGTGTCCCAAAGTCCAGCAGAGAGCTCTCTAATCTCTTTGAAGGCCTCCCCTGCTGTGACTGGCCTGGGGGCAGGGAGACAGTCCCAGGGTGGAGAAAGAGTAGCAGCTGACGCAAGGCCCCCTGGTAGGCAGGACTTCAGGCCTGTCTCTTTAAATCTCAGGTAATTTGGGAGGAGGGAGGGAATGTCTGCACAGCACTCCCAGCGATTCCCAGCTCTGTGAAGTAGAGCACACTCAGAGCCCTGGGCAAGCAGACTGCTGGCCAGCCGGAAGCCCTCACAGGAGAGACAGGAGACGGGACCTCTCCAGGGAGGGGCCAGGGCAGCTGTTGGGGGGGCTGATGTGGCCCCAAGGCCGAGCCCAGTGGGGGTCAGGCCTCAGCCTCAGCCCCCCAAGGTGACCACCTTCCACTCCATGGGGTTGCCCTTGCCCAAGGAGAAAGGGTTAATTCTCTGCCTATGGAACAAGTTCTGCAGATTGTTTCACAGACAGGATTCCTGGGCTCAAAGCCGAGATGAGCTGAACCTGCTGCAGCAGAAGAGGTAAGCCTCACCGCCCGCTCCCAGCTCTTGCCCAGGCTTGCACCCCCCTGTGCCCCCATCTTTGCTTGGTCCACCTGGCCCAGCTCCCAGCCGGGAGGCTCCTCGAGAGCTGGATGTCTCAGCAGTCTTGGCTTTTGGGGCCGGCTGCCCAGGACACCAGGTGGGGAAGGAAGAGAGGCCCAGCACGGGCGCTCATTACGTTGGCGAGTTGGTTGAACTCTGTAGGCTTCTGAGTACTGCCTTAACAGCCAGGCACCTTGCAGGGCCACAGTGCTATCAATGCCCCTCCACCCAAGTGGTACAGGCAGGTCAGGACAGGGCCTCACCCACCTCTGCTCCGTGTCCCTGGAACGGCCTCTCCACAGAAGCCTGTAGTGTCCATGGACGAACGGTGGAATGGAAAAAGGAGAGGGGGAACCGAGAACCCAGAAAGAACTGTAAAAATAGACGGAATGTGGAAAGAGTGTGAGTTCCTGTGTGCTTATCTCAGTCAGACCTTGGCCAACACCTCACTTTAGTCCAGGTGCTGTCAGGGGAAGGGGGAGGTGTGCTGAAGCCTGGAAACAGCTCAGACCCAATCCTGCAATGTTTCCCTTCATGGTGGAGCAGGTGGCAGGGATGCCTGGTCCCAAAACCAGGCCAGTGCCAGCACTGCTGTCATTCAGGTTAGGTGGTAAGAGCATCCTCAGAAGACTTGCTTCACAATTATACAGCCCCTAAAACTTCCCTAATTGCTCCCCACCCACCATGGCTACTTAGAGTTGGGGTTGGGAGCAGGCCGGGACAGGGAAATCTATGGAGTCTAGAGGGTACCCTGTGTGTTCTCTCCCACTTGGAGGGCTTTCACGGATTTCCTCTTTTCACTGGCTCTAAGCTAGAAGGAAGTCCTGACCTGGGGGCTTTCCCAGAGCCCCTAGGAGAGAGATACTACAGCTATTCATTTAGAAAACCCCAAAGTTTCTGTGTCTTAGAATGATTCTCCCTCTCTGAAAGCAGGGGCCTGCCTCAGCCTCACCACAAGGCTTCCTGGGGTCTCCTGTACTGCTCAAGGCTTACGGGCTAGGCCTGTGCCCATTCATTGAGCCCAGGCTTCCTGTCTCTCACTCCGGCCACCCACCTTTCTCCCCTAGGCCTGGGAGGTTGGAGGCAGGGCACATGTCTGGCTGCTGACGTCTTAGGGCCACAGAATGGCCCTGTTGTTGGAGAACAGATCCTCACTACTTCCACTCACCCCTGCCCACTCCAAGCACCTGGGGCTGGGGGCCCCATGCCCAAGCACAGAAAGGCCTGGGACAGGGAGGCGAAGGCCAGGCTCTTTGTAGGCACCTACTGTGAGGTGAGGACACAGCTGAAGGCTCAGGCCCGGGGACAGCCTGGCCCAGAAGAGGCTGCTGCACTGTGTGCCTCGGTTCTTCTTAGGACTACGTGCTAGGCTTGTGCAGGACTGGGCTGTGAGATCTGATGTCACCAGTTAGGGGACCTCCCTTGCATTCCTGATCTTCTCTTCTACTTTGCTGGCATCTTCTTCCTGGACACCTGGCACCCACAGAGTTGGCTCCCTGGGTACATCCTTCCTGGAGCGAGCTGCCATGGCCTGGAGGGGTGTTTCCCAGTCTCTGCCGCTAATGCTCTAGGGGGCTGCTGTGTGAGGAAGGACAGCATGGACAGTGGAGAGGTGGGGGACATTGATGTGCAGGTTGATGCCGGGAACTCTGTTCTAGTCCCCATTGCCAGCCTAGTCTCAGAGTCTCATATGCGGCCAGGCAAGTAGGGCTGTTGTCCCTGCATAAGTGAGGCAGACAGGGGTTTGAGGGTGAGTCTGAAGGCCTGCCACAGGGGCGCAGAAGGGAGTGTGGGTGTGGTGGGTGAGCTCCCTGGAGCAGAGCATGGCCAGGAACACAGCCTTTGCGGTCTGTACGAGACGGCACAGCCTCCCCCTTCCTCTGTGTGTACAGCGGACGTCCTCTGGGTCACAGCCACACCACCCCCTCCTTAAGCCCAGTGCGGGGCCTCGTCTGCACCCTCCACCTTCTCTCACTTCTGGATCACCTCTCCCTCTGGCTTGCATTTTCTCATTCCCTGATATTCAATGATGAAAAGTTTATTGAGCAGAAGATGCTGCACTAGGTTTGCAGGAATGAACATGATACATTTCCTGCTCACAAGGGGCCGGCTTTCTGATGGGCAGAGTTGGTTTGACCAACATCAGAGTTGAACCACTCAAAAAAAAAAAAAAAGATATGTAACTATGCGCATGTAATACCCATTTAAATCCATAATGGTTGCAGCTGTATAGACGCTTTCCTTAATATTCCCTAAGTAACATTCTATAATAATAGTTTTTCACAGCACTCACATCATCTCGAGTACTATCAGTCACCTGGGTATGTTCAAAAGTGTACAGGAGGACATGCAGACGTTACACACAAATGTTTTGTCACTGTCAAGAAGGCATGTTGGCAAGAGTGGGTTCTGGGGTCCTGGTACCCATTCCTTGGAGTGAGAGTGATGACTGTGTGGATTGAACTAGAGTGTGGTGGACATCACAGAAAGGTACAAACAACATGAAAGCAGCAGAGGAGGGCGCTGAGGTATCTGATTTCAGCTACCATGGGGCGTGCTGGAACGTCTCAGAGGCTGCCCACCCTGACCGCCCACCCCTTCTATGCTGACACTGTCTCTCCCCGGGCAGAATGGTGGGCATACTGGAGGCTTTGTTGTACCTTTTCTCAAGTATATGTCTCCGGTGCATAATAGTTACCTTTGTTTAGGGGAATTGGTACCTATCCAATTTTAAACCTTTTATCTCCCCCCACACACCTTTCCTCCATCCCTTAACCCATCTCACAAATATCTGCTTTCTTATCTTCTCTCCATTGTACCCTGTAAGTTATTTACATTTTGAGTTTCTGGTTGTGTAAATAGTTACATGGATACATAGGATAGAAGGATCTGGGAAAACTAAAGCCGTGAGATCCACCCTTATACGCTGCGGTCCTGCGTAGGTAAACGCATGCACGCCTACATGTTGATAGTCACAGGCATAAAGGAGTTAGCACAGCATAGAAGATGGCCCAGCTCTACCTCTCCAGCTGCTTTCCCTAGGCTTGGGCTTCTTCATCCCACTGCCAGGACTTCAGGCTGCAGGGAGGTGACCTCCCAGTGTCTGGAGGATGCCACCTCCCACACATTACTGATTTTACCTTCTCCTGTGGCCACTGCCCCAGACTTGTCCCCAGCCTCCAAAGGAAAACAAGGAGGAGTCATAAAACTAGAAAAACCACATAATTCAGTGGTAGGAGCCTGGGGCTATGTTCTTGGCCAAACTTTCTGACTTTTAACCCTGTGTGATCTTCTGACAGAAGTTTGGCCGTGTGGCCTCGGTTTCCTTTTCTGCAAAGCAGAATCACCCAGCTTTTGATACAGGGCCGAGGAGAGCAAAGGTGAAGAGTGACTGAAGTGTTGCTTTAGAAACTGGCAGCTCGTGTGATAAATGGGATTATTGGGATTAAAAAAAAAAAAAGCAGTAAAAAGGTAACTAGAATAACAGCAGGACTCAGAGGGGTCAACAACTTCCTCTTAACAGAGCTGAATTTACCAGGTCATGACTTTATGGTAGTCATATTGGGTCCCACTCTCAGTGTCACCCGGTGGGCACCTGTTCTGAGGCAGTGCTTGCAGATGCACCAGTGGGTCCCCGGGTACTCACGCAGTCTCCTCTCTGTGTCCTCTACTAACTCTGATTAGCACAGAGAGCAAGGACAGAGACAGCTGGTGGGCCCCTCAGCGCAGTTCGGCCTCTGACTTCCTTGGATAGTCACTTCAAAGTTCTGGACTTCTGTCTTTATTTGTTGCATGAACACGTAAACAGTGTAGATTCCATCTTGCAGGGTTGGTAGTCCTAAACTTTGGGGTTGACTTTCTGCATCTCCAGTACTTAGAAGAAAAGTTGACTCTTGTCTGTGGCAAACATAGATGCACTGTGCGTGAGAAGGAACAAATCATGGCGGCATTCAAGGGACAGAGTAGAGGACAGAAAGGGAACCTCAATGGGTTGCCCAAAGGTGGCCCAAGTATGTAATCAGTGGTTTGTTTACTCAATAAAACATGTACTTGGTTCTGTGCTGGAAATCCCACAGTTCAGTTCCACCAACCCAACATTGAGCTGCACTGTTCAAATTATACTCACCCAGAAAAGCAAAACATTGTGAAAATACCAGTCCTACTGCTCCACAGTTTCTTTTTGGTCCTTAACCAGTGGGGGTTTAAATGGTTTCAATGTTTTGTTTCTTCCTTTGTTTGTGTGTAATGATGTTAAAAATCATTTTGGATGTATAGAGAATTTCTAAGTCTTATTCATGTGAATAATGCCTTTTATTTAATGGGTTATGAATAATTGTACCTCTAAATTAGAATTTCTGCGCCACAGTGTGATTGACACCTTGGGCAGGAGGATTCTTTGTGGTAGGCAGCTATTATGGGAACAATGTTTTTGTGTTGTTCTTTCCTCTGCCCTCCAGAAGCCAGGGGCTCAGCCCATCCGGGAGTTGTGGTCTGAGTTCCCGTGATGAGCTGCTACTGGAGAACTGACAAGACCCTTTGGTGCTCTCTGTCCCCCTGATACAAAGCCTAGAGACTCATATTTGGGGGTCTGTCTTCTTGCTGCCAGTAACTTTAGCTAGAACTTTCTCTTCTGTCCTCTTGTGGCCTTCGGATGTTATTGCACATAATGACTTTCTGGCACAAACCTTCAGACTCCGTCCGTCTGCACACCTGTGCCACATTCGCTGGGCTTGCAGCTAGAGGTGTCCATTCCCCTATAAACCTTGCCAGGTTGGATTATAAGCTGCTTCTTCATCTAGAATGTAGTCTCCTAGATTTCCAGGTAAAACACAACATTTCTTTCAGTTTGCACTGCAGATAAACAAAGACCAATTTGTTGATATAAGCAAGAATGACCCCAATATAGCATGAGACATATCTTTAAAAGAATATTATGTACTAGATTCAATTTTGATTGAGCATGTTATATTTTCCCATGGTAAATCTAGCTACCCTACATCCTCCCTAGGCCCACTAGGATAGCAGTAGAGGTGAGAAAAGAAGCCCAGCAGGAAGAGAGGCCTGTAGAGGGCATTTGTAAGCTTCAGAGGTGTAGAGGGACGTAAAAGGAAATTGCTAAACCTTTATTGCGGAGAGAAACAGACACTGATTGTAACACATAGTGCAAGACACTGGAATGAAAGCAAAGCCAAAGGACAGTGGAAAACCCAGGGATGATGAGGATGAGGATGAGGATGAGGATGAGGATGATGAGGATGAGGATGATGAGGATGATGGTGTGTGTGTGTGTGTGTGTGTGTGCGCGCGCGCGCGCACGCGCATGAGGATGGGAAGGGAAGTGTGGGCTCTAAACTATCCATGGAGGAGGGGTTTGGTCAGATGGCTGGAGTGGAGGTGGTGTAGAAAACTTGTTTTGCTGCTGGGTTTGCATACCAAGCATACTGTTTTTCACTTAGATTATATGTTTGCTTAAGGTTGGCTTAGAGGTGGCTGATGCAGATAATAAGGAGGGGTGGTAAAGCCAAACCACCTTTGTGGCATCACCACTGATTCATCCATTCTACAGCTAAGACGAGTGAGTACCCACCACATGCTAGGCACAGGGGAGACAATGAACAATTGCTGGCTGGAGGAGCCGCTTTGGGAGGAAGGAGCCCTGTGGGCGCAGGCACAGGGAGAACTGTGTGCTCTGTGGTGCTGAGGCGTGTGGTGAGACCAAAATGCTGAATGTCAGGAGTGAGTGGGAGCAGCAGAGGGTGGAACAAGACTGCACAAAGACCTCGAAGAACCTCTGTGTTCTCTCCCCTTGAGCGCTGAAAGACCCACTGGACTTCTATGAGCTGTGATTGCATTTGCTGTTTAGAAAGCAATTCTTGGCAGTAGCAAAAAAAGGGTGGATTAGATGGAGATGCGGGGTGGGAGGGTGGACGGGAGGGCACTTCGCTGGTACTGGGCTGGGGAGTAAATGCGTGAGTTCATGAGGACTAGAAGGGACAGAAAGGAAGGGGGTTAATGGAAGATGTAAGCTTAGCTACTGTGTATACAGGGCCTAGTGATGACCTCTGGGGCCTGCGGGGGTAAGCGGGGACCACAGTTAGAGAAGTATGCACTACATTTCCACTCTACTTGCAGCTTTGCACTAGATTTTTTGCCACTGCCGGCACTTCAGCTCCTGTGGATGTCATTTTGTATGTCATATAATTGGCCATCAATGGATAAATAGCATTATTACATTCAGTCTGAAAGACCATGTAGCTCCAGGCCAGCAGAGAGAATGGAATAAAAAGGTTTCATGTGTCTTAGTTGGGGCAAATTCTGACTTTATAAGAGATTTGTAGTTCATTGAAGAAATAAGAGCAGGGATTTGGTCTGGGGAGACAAAGAAGATGAGTTTGCCTTGAAACAAATGAAAAGTACTTAATAGGAAAAGACAAAGAACCAGGAAAAGAAACAGAACCTAGAAATCTACAATTTTGAAAGATACATTAAAAGGAAGAATGGCGAACCAAGATCTACATGCAATTCAGGGAATGAACCTGCCACATGGGAGTCTCTAGCTTTTCAGTATCTGTCATTGTTGCATAGTTTATATCATCACGGTTGTTAATAGTACAAATAAATATCAGTTAAGCCCTAAAGGTAGCAGGTCTGAGAATGCGGGAGAACACTACTTCTTGAGCTGTAATGTGTGCCTCTTAAAATGGAAAATCCTGAGCTTGCTTCAGATCTACCACACTCCCGCTGCTGGCTTGAGTAATGCTTCTCAAACTTTAATATGCAAAAGAAGCAGCTGAGCATTTGCTTAAACTGCAGTCTGATTTTTCCAGATCAAATGGTGGGTCTGAGAGTTGACATTTCTTATAATGTCTCACCAGATGCTGATGGAAGCCTGTGGGAGCTGAGATGGGAGAAGACAGAAAAGGGACAAAGGCAGAGAGAGAGAGAGAGAGAGCAGAGAGAGACAGAGACAGAGAGAGACAGAGACAGAGAGACAGAGAGAGGCAGAGAGAGACAGAGAGACAGAGAGACAGAGAGACAGAGATCAGCCTCTAGCAACGCTTTCTCACAAGAGCCACTGAGCCACTGTTGCTTTGGAGTTGAACCCTAAAGATGCTATCGTCCTGGGGAGGAGGCAGGTGCTAGAACCAAAGGATTCAGGACAGAGGGCTGAGTAGGCAGAGCAACAGGAGGAGCCCAGCTGCCCTCTGCACAACTGACTTTCTCTGCAAGTATGCGGGAGGAACTCCTCACACACCTAGTCCACACAAAACAAGGCTTATCCTGGAGGGCAATCTCAGAACACCTGCTGAGGCCAAACAGGACCTCAGGGGTAGCGGGGACAGGTCAGGAGGCAAGTGCATGCTTAAGTGAAATCTTCCTTCCTTGCCCGATGTATGCAGATAGCACATACACTCCCTGCATACTTGGTCCCAGCATGCAGGGGCTAGCAATCAAGTTAAGACCAAGAAAGTGGATAAAATGTTGGCTTGGGCTGACTGATGAGTCAGGTGACTTTGGCGCTACCCTGCTCTGCCTGCCCTGATCACCTTGGGGTCCATTGCAGCCAAGGAGCACCTGTCTTAGAGCACAAGGCCACCGTGGCGCCACAGTTGAGTGTGCTCCCTGTCCCACCTCTCTCCCCACTCCCCTCACAGGATCTGGGAGTCTCCTCTCCTGCTAGCTGCCAAAGAAAACGATGTCCAGGCTCTGAGCAAGCTACTCAAGTATGAAGCCTGTGATGTGCGCCAGAGAGGTAAGGAGGGGAGCCACAGCCCCTCTCCCGGGCCACCCTCACATAGGGCTAGCGTTGCCCCCTCCCTCTGCTGCAGAGTAAGCGTGTGACTCTTCTCTCTGCCATGCCAGGAGCCATGGGGGAGACAGCGCTGCACATAGCAGCCCTTTATGACAACCTGGAGGTGGCCATGGTGCTGATTGAGGCTGCCCCAGAGCTGGTCTTTGAACCCATGACATCTGAGCTGTACCAAGGTGAGGCTCCAGAACCCCAGAATGGAGAGAGCCCTGTTCTGCTGTGTGTTTTCAGCAGTCTTACCAGTGGATGGTTTAAAGAAATGAGAGAGGACATCCCCTCCTCCAGCGGTCCCTAACTTCTTGTCAATCCTGATTGTGCGTCACTAGAGCACCAAGCCTCAGAGCTACCAGAGGGCTAGATAGGAAGAGATGTGGGGAGCCAGACCCCCCAGGAGCCCTGAATTCTCCTAGGCTTCTGTCCTCCACTGTAAGATGCCCAAGAGAAGGAAGGCATGGATGCAAATGGGAAGAATCCCTGTAGAGTCCTGGGGACAAACCCAGGACTGACAGCTCTCTCTGTCCAGGTCAGACTGCACTGCACATCGCTGTCATGAACCAGAACGTGAACCTGGTGCGCGCACTGCTCACTCACGGGGCCAGCGTCTCTGCCAGGGCTACGGGCCTCGCCTTCCAGCTCAGCCCCCACAACCTGATCTACTATGGTAAGTGCCAGGGCCAGGCTGGGAAGGAGGAGGAAGAGGAGGAAAGCAAGGTGCTGACCTGGGGGTTGTTAAGGTGGGCTGTCTGGGATGGAACAGGCCTTGCTGTACTGCAGATCAGAGGCCATGTCTCCCTACCACCTCTGCATTGTCCTTTCCTCTGGTTCTGCTGGATAAGTGTTCCCAACCCCCAGCCTGGGTATAGGGAGGAGGAGACAGGCACTTGTGGTGGTGGGGGGACACAACTTCATACAGTGATCCTGCTGCCTCCTGCCACTAATCCCTCTGTGTCCCAGGGGAGCACCCTCTGTCCTTTGCAGCCTGCGTGGGCAATGAGGAGATCGTGAGACTGCTCATAGAGCACGGAGCTGACATCCGGGCCCAGGACTCACTGGGTAGGAGCTAGATGTGCGTGGATACTAGGATGCTGCAGACGGTGTGGGGAGGAGGGGCACAGGCCATCCCAGATGTGGACGGGGCCCACAGGGGCATCAGGCCCGTGGCCACATGAGAGCCCGCCCTCCCCAGGGAACACCGTGCTGCACATCCTCATCCTGCAGCCCAACAAAACCTTCGCCTGCCAGATGTACAACCTGCTGCTGTCCTATGATGGAGGGGACCACCTGCAGTCCCTGGAGCTCGTGCCCAACCACCAGGGCCTCACGCCCTTCAAGCTGGCTGGAGTGGAGGGCAACACTGTGGTGAGCGCCTCCCCGTGTCTCTCCATGAGGATGCCCAGCCTGCCCTGGTGGCCCCAAGAGGAAGGAAACAGGCTCTTAAATTCTACTCTCAGATCAGCCTGGGATGCTTCTCTGGATGCCCCTTTCGCCTGTCCCTGTTCTCTTTTCTCCCCATTTTCCCTGACCTGAGTGGTGGAGGCTTATGGTCTACATCACTGCTGAGATGACCCATAATGCCCAGGACCACCTGGCCTACTCACAGCAGCCACCTTCAGCCCCTCTCAACTCCCTTTCCAAGCTCTGCAGGGAGTCAGGGGGTGCAAGGTACACCCAGCTGTTAGAGAGAGCAAGAAGAATTTAGCAGTCACCATAGACATGAGCTCTTCTGGCCTCCTGAGCCTGTGGCCCTGACAACCACCAGCCTCTCTAGTGCTATTGTCCCCTGAGTCCACATCCCATCTACCCTCTGTGACACCCTCTCTGCCTGTGACACCTGACCACCTTTGCCTCCCCAGATGTTCCAACACTTGATGCAGAAGAGGAAGCACGTCCAGTGGATATATGGACCGCTCACCTCCACTCTCTATGACCTCACTGAGATCGACTCTTCGGGGGATGAGCAATCACTGCTGGAGCTTATTGTCACCACCAAGAAGCGGGAGGTATGGGGTCTTCACAGCAGATCTCCTGGCCAGGGTACCCGTGTTTTGGGGCTGTTTGTCCTATTCCCTCTACTGCAGGCTCGGCGCATCCTGGACCAGACACCGGTGAAGGAGCTGGTGAGCCTCAAGTGGAAGAGGTATGGGCGGCCCTACTTCTGCATTCTGGGTGCCATCTACCTGCTCTACATCATCTGCTTCACTGTGTGCTGCGTCTACCGCCCCCTCAAACCCAGGACCACAAACCAGACCAGCCCCCGGGACAACACCCTCCTCCAGCAGATGCTCCTTCAGGTGATGGTCTACCAGTAGCAGATGGCCGGGACAGGACCCTGCCTCTTGGCTTTTCTCAGGCTGGCCCTGCTTTCCTGTCTGTATACCATGCAGCCCCCTCACACAGCTCTCTGATGCAGACACAGTGCATGTGCACAGAAACAAACGTGCTTCATCTAGGGGCAGACTTTGAGGCTGGATGGGACCTAGTGGAACATAGTGGGTTGGAAAGACCCAGACAAAGCTGCTAGCCCTAGGCCCCAGGGCAGGCAGGGTGGGTGCACGGAAGCCTTGCTTGCTTTGACTGTCCTATTTCCCCTCAGGAAGCCTACGTGAGCCCCAAGGACGACCTGCGGCTGGTGGGGGAGCTAGTGAGCGTCTTCGGGGCTGTGATCATCCTGCTGGTGGAGGTGAGCTGTGAATGGGATTGGCGTGAGGCTGGTGGCCCCAGGGATCTGATCTGAACTCAGGTCCACAGGCACCTTTTTGTCCCCCTGGCTCCTATTCCAGATTCCAGACATCTTCAGACTGGGGGTCACTTGCTTCTTTGGACAGACCATCCTTGGGGGGCCATTCCATGTCATTATGTGAGTCACCTTTCTCTCATTCACAATGGCCTATGACATCCAAGGTCTCAAGGACCTTCATGGAATAGCTCCCTCTGCAGGGTTGTGTGTGTCCTTAGATTCACGCCATTGTGTGACAGACAAGTCACTGACTGTACAGGAACGGTCCCAGTTGTACTCTTGACATCCTGTCTTCAGGAGAACCCCAGGCCTCCTCTCATCACACCTTGTCCTGCTCCCCCCAGCGTCACCTATGCCTTCTTGGTGTTGGTGACCATGGTGATGCGGCTCACCAATACAGATGGAGAGGTGGTGCCTATGTCCTTGGCCCTGGTGCTGGGCTGGTCCAACGTCATGTATTTTGCCCGAGGATTCCAGATGCTGGGACCCTTCACCATCATGATCCAGAAGGTCAGTCCCACTTTCCATGCCTATCTGAGAAAGGTCCCAGACCAAGCGTTGGCAAACATTTCTTGAAGGGACTAAATAGTGCCTAAATATTTCAAGCTCTATGAGCCATGCATTGTCTTCATCATGTTACTTGATGCTTCTTTTTCTCAAGCAATGCTTTACAAATGTTAGAACTGTTCTCAGTTCATGGGCTATGTCACAAGGGGCCGGTAGGTTTTGCCTGTGGGCCATGCTTTGCTAACCCCTGACCTAGGACAGGGAGCTGTTACACTTATCAGGGTTACATCTGCTAGCTTTGAATGGGGCAACTGCTCCAGAAATATGAAAGGGTCTCTCTGCCTCCTCTTCCCTCTAGATGATCTTTGGAGACCTTATGCGATTCTGCTGGCTGATGGCGGTGGTCATCCTGGGTTTTGCTTCAGGTAAATCACCTGCGCGGCATGAGGGTCATGGAGGGAGAGGTGGTAGGTGGAGAATGCCTCTGGCTAAGCTTGGGGAAGGGAGGGAAGGAGCCAGGGAAGCAGAGGTCAGAGGAGATTGGGCAAGGTCTGAAGAAGGGACATTCTTCAGGGGTGAGGGAAAACAGGCTCAGGGAGATGCAGCATTTGGGAGCAGGAGGATGAGTCTAAGGGATACAGGAGCTCAAAATGTGAAGTGCTGTGGCGTTCAGGGGGTGATCCTGAGGATGAGGGGAAGGGGATAGAAATAGGGTACAGAATGCTGGATGTGGCTAGTCATGATGCAGTTGCCATGGTAACTCTCACCCTCTTGGGTGGAGCAGCCTTCTATGTCATCTTCCAGACAGAGGACCCTGATGAGCTGGGCCACTTCTACGACTACCCCATGGCACTGTTCAGCACCTTTGAGCTCTTCCTCACCATCATCGATGGCCCTGCCAACTACGACGTGGACCTGCCCTTCATGTACAGCGTCACCTACGCCGCCTTCGCCATCATTGCCACATTGCTCATGCTCAACCTCCTTATCGCCATGATGGGCGACACCCACTGGCGAGTGGCCCATGAGCAGGATGAGCTCTGGAGGGCCCAGGTGAGTCCCTGGCAGCTGGGCTGGGGGAAGCCATCACCTTCCTCCCCACCAACTGGCCATGCTCAGGCAGAAGCAGGATATTTTGACCCTACATGTGTCCAATAGTTATCACACATTATGGAAAAAAAATACCAAGTATGCAGAAGAAATGAATTAGCGATACAACTAAGCATTCCTGGAATCTCTGGAATATTCCTCAGTTTTGTCAACAATTTAAATCTCAAAAGGGCCAGTGAGATAGCTCAGCGGACTAAGCACCTGCTTTGGCAAGTGCAGGGACCAGGGTTCAATCCTTGGTCCAGCATGCCACGTGGCCCCATCTCCAGGGTGCACTGAGCCAGTGACCACGTCTGGCAGTGGCGGTGCACGCCTGTAATCCCAGCGCTGGGTAGGCTGAAAACAGGAGGATCACTACAAGGCCAAGCTGCATAGTGAGCCCTTGTAGTAAATACATTAAAAAAAAAAAAGTCTCAGTGTTGCTCCTCAGGAGGTTGAGGCAAGAGGATCACAAGTTTGAAAAAGTTTGGGCGACTTAGTCAGACTATCTAAAAAAAAAAAAAATAAGAAGGATGAAGATGTAGCTCAGTGCACACCTTAGTGTTTATATTGAATAATCAACAAAAATAAAGCTAACATTGCCTGCAACCATATCAGTACATTTTGTCAAGTTGGCTTGGCAGTATTTAAGCCTGTAAAATTTGACCCAGAAAAACTGGAAGTGTTAAAAATAACACTGCAAAATTTCCTGTAGCAGCAGAAATCATCTTCAGTCAGATCATTGTGATGGACGTGAAGGACGACGAGATGAATCAAATCTTCCGTTTTAAATATTCTTAGAAAAGGATTGATCGCAACAAAAGTAATTTCAGGAAAAACAAGAATGGAAACTCCCAACTCTAGGAGGCCTGTAATGATGGCGTATAGGAAACAATAAAATCTGAGGTGGCTCAAAGGAATTTTCTCAGGGCAATATTTTCTCCATGAAAGTAGATTAGCATCAGATTTCTACACATGATGCTTACATTTATAAATGGCCTTTAGATAAGGTAAAAATATTCCATGGTATTTTGTCCTTTTTTCCCACTTGTTCTGCTGTCTCCCTTCCCCTTGGAGTAAGGCCTCTCCCTCCCTGGGTCTCTTGCACCCTGCCTGAACCCAGCTGCATCCCCCTGGCTGTGTCACTGGTGGTGAGCTGCAGACATCAAGCGTCATTAACTCTCTCCTACAGAAAAACCTAAATGCAGTTCACACTGCCGTCCCTGATCACAGCCTTGCTCACTAGGCTGGGAAGCCCCGAGCTCCTGCATCACCTTGCTGTTGCTAAATTGCCCTCCCTCTGCCTGCGGAGGGAGCCTGGTATCTAACTCCCCCTTCTGCCCCCACCTGCAGGTGGTAGCCACCACCGTGATGCTGGAGAAGAAGCTGCCTCGCTGCCTGTGGCCCCGCTCTGGGATCTGTGGGCGAGAGTACGGGCTGGGGGACCGCTGGTTCCTGAGGTAAGCACCAGCACAAGGCTGGGCAGTCCCTGAACAACCACCTCTGCATGGTGACCTTTGGCTTGGACAGCTCCCTGCTCCTAGGGACCCTGTGGAAGTCTATGGACTCACTAGCTCCCATGTCCTTTGGCTGGGCTGCAGCTACTGAAAAAGGGACCCCAGTAAGAGTGGACCCCTTAAAGCGTACTCAGAACGGGTAGATCAGAACTTAGAGCCTGGTAGTCCCCACCTGCACCTGAGGTGCAGAGAAGGACAAAGGCCTGTAATGGTGGTGCTGGGTGTGGACAGGACACAAGCCTTGGTCTTAGCTCTTCTCCTCAATTCTTCCTCTTTCCAATCTTCTTCCATTCTCCAGGGTGGAAGACAGGCAGGACCTCAACCGGCATCGAATCCGGCGCTATGCACAAGCCTTCCACACACAGGGAAGCCCTTATTCTCAGGACTGGGACAAAGACCCAGTGGAAAAACTGGAGGTGGGCCGCCCTGTGGGGCCCTACCTGTCCTTCCTCACCCCTTCGGTGTCTCGAAGTACCTCCCGCAGCAGTACCAACTGGGAAAGGCTTCGACAAGGAGCCCTCCGGAGAGACCTGCGGGGCGTGATCAACCGGGGCTTGGAAGATGGGGAGGGCTGGGAATACCAGGTCTGAATGTGCACTGGTCGTTGTAGCATCCAATCCAAACCCAAGCAACAAAAGCACACCAGAAACCTAGGTCTCATCTGCCAGGTCCAAGAGGGAAAGGGGGGTGGCATGAAGGTCAAGGCATGCATGCTGGAAAGAACCACTCCAGGTCCTCAGTCTCCCTCAGATGGGGCAAAGAGAAGCAGAGTCTACGGCCCTCCCTGTGCTAGGCACTTCTTGCTCTCATACGGAAGTCCCACTGCACACCACAGCACTTTAAAGACAGGTTCGCCTTCTCGAGAACCTGTCACCCCCATGTCATAAGCGGGAAGGACTCCTTCACAGGGTGCACCAGACAAGTGTCAGGCTCATGGAGAGGCGCGTGCGGGAGGGAGATGGGTACCACCCCAGGGAGGGGGAGGTGGGGCTGGGTCTCGCACCTTCCACCTTCCAATAAAGCCATTTTCTTCCCCTTGCCCTGCGCCTCCTCTGCATTTCTGCGTCTTGTGCCCTTCCTGCCTACAACTCCAAAGCCTTCCACCCTCCTTGAAAGTTGAAGCCTGGACACACCTGAACTTGCAAATTCCCTTCTTTCCCTTTAATGTGGGGGAGGCCAGTGAAGGGGGGAGGACCAAGGAATACAGTTTCCACTGCCCAAGGGCTGGGCTGAGTGTGGCAGACAGGAGGTGGCGGCAGTGCCTGGCTCCTGTCGTCTCACTTGTCCCTCCTTGGACCTGCGTCCAGCTGGGTTCTTGCATGGTCAGTCAGTGATGAGCTGCTTAACCCAGCTGCATTCACACCTCCACTGAGCCAGGCTGCCTCAGGTGTTGCTGAAGGAGCTGAATGTTGTACAGCAGCTTCTTCTGGTGCCCAGCCAGGGTGATGCCAAGGGCAGGCAGGTCTCTAGGGGGGAGGAAGTGGATCAGGTCTGGGCCAGCTGCTTCAAGATCCCAAGCTCACCCCCTCTCCTGGGGCCCAGAGCATCTATCTGCCTACCCACACGCCTCCCCCTGCTTACTCCAGGCTGAGCTGAGCCACGTCACTGAAGGTGCAGAGGCCAAACTTAGAGAAGTTGTCCTGGTAGCACTCTAGTCCAATGGCTGAAAGCCAGGCCTGGGGCGAGTCCAGGCAAGGGAAGTCCAGGGCCACAGGTTTCAAGAGGGCCTGGGAAGGTCTAAGGTGAGGAGGGCAAGCAGGTTAAGGTCAGTTCAGGGTCTCCTCTTCATCTTAGCCCTCTCTCCTCAGCTTTCTTTTGGTTCTCATCTACCCTCCCTGGATATCCCGGGCTCCAGCCCCAAGCTCAGACCTGTCCCCGGAGCCCCCGTCAGCCTGCAGTGTGTCTGGTTTGCGGATCATCTTGTCAAATGCAGCCACCAGCTGGTCAAAATGAGGCCGCTGGGCTCGGTCCTTCTGCCAGGTGTCCAACATGAGCAAATGTAGTCCAGGAGGGCAGCCTGGAGGCGGTGGCAGCCGGAACTCCTGCTCTATGGCATTCAGGACCTAGGGACCAGCAAAACATAGGCTGATGAGAAGCTACTGCTGGGAAAGTGTTAGGAGGAGGGGCGAGCAAAAGCCAGGTGCAGCGTGAGGTGGGAGCGGGGAAGAAACTCAGAACTAGGGACCAGGCCACTCGTGAGGTAGTAGGAGGGAAATTTTAGTGTCCTCGTGCCTGGGAGGGGGTGAAGGGGCAGCACCAGGGTCAAGTGCACACCTCCTGCTCGCTCATGTCCCAGTAGGGGCGCTCTCCATAGCTCATCACTTCCCACATGAGTATCCCGAAGCTCCAGACGTCACTGGATGTCGTATACTTTCCGTGTGCGATGACCTCGGGGGCCGCCCAGCGAAGCAAACAACCTGAGCTCTGAGAGGTGGGATCAAAAACAGATCAGCCCTCCTCTCACCAAGGGTCACGCTCGCTGAGTCTGCGCTCAGCTGTGCACTGAGGTCTTCATATCAGGCAACCCAGAGAATGCTCTCAGGCATCCTGAGAGGGTGGCACAGAGAACATGAACCTGTGCAGGATCCAGGCCCGGAGAGTCAAGGCTGGTGCCCAGCTCTCCTGATCCAGGAGCTCTTCCGAGTGACAGGCAGCTGACAGGAACTTCCGCAAGGGTCCTGCAGCTCTTCTGGCCCTCCTGGTTCCTTCTCCCAGCCTCAGTCTCTGAATCCTTCAGGAGCCCTTGTCCTGGCTGCCCTCCCCTCTCAAGCACATCAGCCCCTGATCTCCAAGCATGGAGAATCCCACCCCAGGAGCCCACCTCAGGAGCCCAGCCCAGGTCAAGCTCATGCTCCAGCACTGCGGAGGGATGCTGAGAGCCCAGGCCCCGCACTCACCTGGGGGCTGTGGCCAAGACGTGCCACCTTGCACACCAGGTGGCTATTCACCAGCACACTTCTGGCAGAGAGCGCGCGGTGCACGAAAGCAAAGCTGGCCAGGTACTGCATGGCGGCCGCCACTCCCCGCTGCATGGCCACCAGCTGCAGGCTGCTGAACTGGCCCTCCCGCTGCTGAGGGGCAGGGGGCAGAGGTCAGCACCAGGACCAGGAACCTCGACATGGTGCAGACCCTGGCATGAGAGGCAGATGCGGGCAGATGGCGAATTGGGGAAGCAGAAAATGTCCTGGGGTGGGGGAGGAGGAAGCCCAACAAGGCAGGTGGGATGGAGGCAAAGTACAGGGCTGCAGCTCCAGGGGGCCGTGAGAACCTCAGCTTCCCTGTCCCCACAGACCCTTCTCCACCAGCCTGGACTGACCCTGAGGAAGCTGTCCAGGGGCCCAAGCTCCATGAATTCTGTCAGCACCATTAAGGGCCGGCTCTTGGTGACTACGCCCTCCAGCCGCAAGACGTTGGGGTGCTGGAACTGGCCCAGCAGTGCAGCCCGGCCCAGGAAGGTCATCTGCAGGCTCTCGGCACCCCCAGCCCACAGGGCCTGGATGGCCACGGCCTGTTCGCGCCGGCCCCGGGGCTGCAGGCGGCCCCGACGCACTTCTCCAAAAGAACCTGGGAGCACAAGTGCAGGTTGGGCAGTGTCAGGGAGGCCTGGACCTAGTAGGGCCTTGGACCAGAAAGGTAAGGAGGAGGAATCCCCAGACCCACCGGGACCCTCCTTGTCCCTGCAGTACCTGCCCCAATGACTTCCTCAATCTTGATATATGCAGGGTCAACTTCTCGGGTGAGTTCGCGGATGGCCTGGCAGGGGTCCTCATAAGTAGAGGGGTCGATGTAGTACTTTACCCCAAGACCTACCGGGTAAGGTGCACTGTGAGACTGGGGTACAAGGCCAGGTGCCTATGTTCTCACCCCCAGGAGATGGCATTGTGGTGCCCCTCAAGCTTGCCCTCCCCAAGTCCTCCAGCCTCGTCCAGTTCCCCTTTGCTGCCCCCACCTGGGCTGCTGTACTGCTGCAGCTGCTCTGTGTAGCCTGTCCCACGCCGCTTCCTAAGGGACAAACCAGCACCTTAGGAAGACAAACCAGCTTCCCAGCAGGCTCTAGGGAGGGAGTGGACACTACCAGGCTGCTCCTCCCCACCTCTGCATGAGGTTCAGGACAAGGTCTGGGGTTGTGGAAGGATGTGTGGGATGGGGGTGGGGGCTGGGCCACAAGGGTAGAAGGGTGCTAGAGAGGATGGGCAGGAATGCCAGGGGCCTCACCGCTGGAAGATGAAGACAAGCACAGTGATAGCCGCTAGCAGGAGGAAGGCCAAGGCCCCCAGGATGGAGCCAATCAGCAAGGACAGCTTTTCTGGGAGTGGGGAGGACAGCTCACCTGAGGGAGCCAAGCCTGGGTCACAGGGGCCAGCCCTCTACCAAGAGTACACATGCACCGTGGCATACACACACATCCACAGGCATGCCCAGACACAGGTACATGCGCACCCCAAACTTCATCCAAACACACAGGCAGGTCTATACCTCAAAGCCCAGGTCACACACACACACACACACACACACACACACACACACAAATCCACAGGTACACATCTCAAACTCTATGCCACACCTGCACATATACACATATATACAGGAATATACCTAAATCCCCACGCCACACCCATGCACACATATGCAAGTCCACACCCATACACATGCACAGACAGGCAGGTCCACACCCCAAACTCTTGACCACACCCACACACATGCATACACACACTCACAGGCAGGTCCACACTCCATCTCTATAACGCACCCACACACAGGCACACACACACACACAGAGGCAGGACCACATTATACCTCTACAGCACACACACACACACACACACACACAGATGAGCACCTGCGTACTCAGTCCTTCATGTGCATCCACATCCTCTGTAGCCCCTTCATATACCCAACACACACTTACAAGTCGCATGCATCTCTACACCCACAGTCCCTATACCCCACCCAGAATGCCCCTAAGCTCAAAGATCTGCCCCTAAGGGCACGGTCAGCACAACACTCTTCTCACAGCACCCTGTCCAAAGCCTCTGGGCCATCCTGGGCAGAAGTTCATGGCCTGGCCAGTCCCGGTCAGTCCTGACTATTACTCTGGCCTCCCCCTGCCTGTCTATGCCTTGCCTCACCTTGCGGCAGTGTCTGGAAATAGACCTTGCCCCCGTAGGGGCCATGGCCAGCGGCAGTCCGTGCTCGCACCTGGAAGCCGTAGATGTGGCCCGGGCTCAGCCGTGTCACTGTGGCAGTGTTGGTCTCGCTGGTCAGGGTGAAGGAGTGCGATTCATCTTCTGCCTGGGGAGCACAGCCATCACTCCCTGCCTGGCATGGCAGGCCCCCTGCCCCCGGCTCTAGGCCCTTGGAGTCTCCTTGTGTGCCCGTAAGACAATGCCAGCCCCTGCTGAGGGGCTGCAAGCTTCTTCCAGCCCTGCTGCAGCAGCCCCTACCCTACCTTTTGCCCACCTGGTCATAGTAGCGGAGCTGGTAGTCAAGGATGTTCCCATTGGCCTGATCGGGCTGCGGCCAGGACACAGTGATGCTGTTGGCTGCCCGGCTCACTTGGTGCACCACAGGGACTGCAGAGGGGACTGAATTGTGGGGTGGGGGTGGAGCTCAGATGATGGAGTCCAAAGCAGGCCAGATGGAGGGCAGGAGGGCAGGAGGGGGATCCTAGGATGCTGAGGCACGGTACCCTTGAGGGGAAGGGAAAGGTTTACCTTCGTGGCTGGTGCTGACATTGATGGCTGCAGCCTGGGGCGGGTCAGGGCTGAGCTCAGTCACCCCGTTGACAGCCTGCACCTCCAAGACATAGGAGACGTGTGCTCGGAGCCCCCCAACTAGCACTCGACTCTCAGTCAGTCCCCTCTGGCGGGGATCGAAGTGCACCTCATCCCTGCAGCGGCGACATGTGCCTGCCCCGCTAGGCTCCTGAGGGGCCCCACATTCCTTGCACACAACGTTGAAGAGAAGGTCTCCTCGTCCGCCCAGCTCCTGAGGCAGGCGCCAGTGCAGCATGAGCACAGAGCCTTGCACCTCAAACCACAACTCCCGGGGAGCTGATGGAGGCCCTGCGGGGGCAGAGCCAGGAAGGCAGGAGTGGTGGGAGGAAGGGTTGAGGAAAGCAGGTCAGGAGGGTGGATGGCCCAGGGGGAAGAGACAGAAGAGCAGCAAACAGAGCCCAAAGTGGGAGGAGACAGGAGGGAAGCAGGCGGGAAGCAGGAGGGCCAAGGGGGAGGAAACCAAGGAAACAGGAGAAAGACAAGTCAGTTTCAAATGCAGCACCCCCAGTGTGGTGTACCCTCCACTTCCAGCCCCACCCCTTGGGTCTTTCCCATTCTGGGCTGGTGGGGTACTCACCGGTGCAGGGAGCCTCTGGAGGGTCAGAGCTGGCCCGGTAGAAGCCCTGAAGGCAGGGGCAGATGGGAGCCGCAGGGTCTACAGCATGGCTGCGCACAGGGCATGGTGAGCAGGGGTCATTCCCAGCTAAGGCCTTATAGGTCCCCACAGGGCAGGCTGAGGAGGCAGAGGAAATGGGGGTGTCACACTGACAGCAGCTGAGGTCACACAGCTGCTGGGGTGCATGGAACTCCAGAGTGAATCTTCTTTTTCTCCTGAGACCTAACCACCGCCCCCCATCTCTTCCCAGGAGCAGAGAAGTATTCTGTAAATCACTGGGACAGAAACACATTTCCATCCAGGTGAAGCAGAGGATTCTGGGGGCTGCAGGCAGGGCCAGCCCAGGTGTGGGAGTCCCGGGCTGGGTTGCATAACCTCCTTCTGTAGTCACTCTTCTTCTGTGCTTCCATTTCCACTTCTGCCTGCTTCCCCAGCCACCAGGCCCTTCAGGAAACCTCCTCAAGCAGGTGACAAGGGTAACAGAGGGCCCTGTCCAACCACCTAGCAGCTCAACTTTTAGCTTCCATCACTTCTTAGCCTGTAGCCCCAGTACCCTTACAATTGCTGCAGAGGGCTCCAGAACATTCTATATAAGCAAGTGGGAGCATTTGTATGCCTCACAAAATAAAATTAGAGAACACAGGGCCTTTTTGAAGATGGGTTATTTCCGACCTTTGAGGGACAAAAGGAACTATAGGGTGTTCAGAAGAGGAAGCCTAGGTGGGGGGCAGGTGAGAGGTGCTAGGCAGGTGACAGGAAATGGGTCTTCACCTTGGCAGGCCTTGTCTCCGCGTGCAGGCTGGTGTCCTGGCTGGCAGCGGCAGCCCCCGACAGCCACCATCCATTTGCCTTCCCCATTGCAATGCAGTTTGGGGGATTTGCCTCCAGCCTGGCCTCCCACACCATCTTCCTCCAGCTCTGCGTGAGCCACACAGGTGCCCTCAGCTTCTACCAGCGAAGCCCCCCCAGCCCCACTGGCCTGTGTCTCTGGAAAGGAGGCGAAGGCCCGCAGTACAGGGGCACAGGTGTAGGAGAAGAGCTTCACAGCCACCAGGGCCAGGCAGGCCCCCGTGTCCTGGAAGGCCACGTAGAAGCCGCGCTGGGTAAGAGGGCCGAAACTACGCTCCTTGACATTCAGCTGCAGCCCGGCCCGCTGCCCGGTCCTGTGGGGCCCCACGGCCCAGGAGGAGGAGGAGGAGGAGGAGGAGGAGGCAGGGAAGCTCTCATCTGCTGCAATGGTGTCCACTTTGGTCCAGCGCTGGAGGTGCCAGGCGGGGCTGCCGTCGGGGCTGTCAGGCTCCTCCGCCTGGCGGTAGTAGAGAGTGAAGGTCTCCCGGCAGGTGCCTCCGCTCACGCCCAGGCTGGCGCAGGCTCTCACAGAGAAGTGGAGTCTGATGTGGGCCCTGTGGGCCCCTCTCCGCTCCACAAAGTGGGTCTGTAGCCAGTTGTCCTGCACGGTGCCCACGGGGGCCCCTGCCACGTGGCACGCCTCGAAGGTCCGAGTCAGGCGGCTCTGGTCATCCAGCACGCTCACCTCATCCCACTGTCGGACAGGAGAAGATTAGCTGCCCTGGGCTGTGCAAGGTAGTTTGGGGGACAATGAAGGGCCCTGTCTACTGTGCTGAAAATAAAATTCATGACAGGCATGGCACAAAGGGGAGCCTAGGAGATCCCATTCTTCGGGAAGGAGGGATGGAGGGAGTGAGTCTGAGTCCACTTGTGTACCCAGGGCTTCTGGCATTGTTCCTATTCTGAGATGGTAGAGTGGGCCAGGGCTCAGAAGGGAGAATGGACTCACCCCACCTGGGGGGTAGGTCAGCCAGCCGATCTCCGAGGTCTCTCCTGTAGTGTCCAGCAGCACCTCTGCCCAGACAGAAAGGGACACACAGTGCCAGCAGCAGCCACTCCATCCCCAAGGGGAACCAAAGACTGTCCCTCCCTGGTCCATTTCATTGGATAGCAGGAGCTCAGCTGCCACCAGGACCCTGTCCCTGGAATACTGACAAGGCCCTCACGATCCCCAGGCTGTCGTTCCTCCAGGCCTTCACTCTTCTCTGCCTTTCTGGAACCCTCACCCTGCCCACTACAT